CAGGCTACGCACACCTGACTGTCTCCTACTGGCTACACACACCTGACTGTATCCTCCTAGTCTGTATCCTCCTAGACTGTATCCTCCTAGACTGTATCCTCCTAGACTGTATCCTCCTAGACTGTATCCTCCTAGACTGTATCCTCCTAGACTGTATCCTCCTAGACTGTATCCTCCTAGACTGTAGCCTCCTAGACTGTATCCTCTTAGACTGTATCCTCCTAGACTGTAGCCTCCTAGACTGCATCCTCCTAGACTGTAGCCTCCTAGACTGTACCCTCCTAGACTGTATCCTCCTAGACTGTATCCTCCTTGACTGTATCCTCCTAGACTGTATCCTCCTAGACTGTAGCCTCCTAGACTGTATCCTCCTAGACTATATCCTCCTAGACTGTAGCCTCCTAGACTGTATCCTCCTAGACTGTAGCCTCCTAGACTGTAGCCTCCTAGACTGTAGTCTCCTAGACTGTAGCCTCCTAGACTGTATCCTCCTAGACTGTATCCTCCTAGACTGTATCCTCCTAGACTCTATCCTCCTAGACTATATCCTCCTAGACTGTATCCTCCTAGACTGTATCCTCCTAGACTGTATCCTCCCAGACTGTATCCTCCTAGACTGTATCCTCCTAGACTGTATCCTCCTAGACTGTAGCCTCCTAGACTGTATCCTCCTAGACTGTATCCTCCTAGACTGTAGCCTCCTAGTCTGTATCCTCCTAGACTGTTGCCTCCTAGACTGTAGCCTCCTAGACTGTAGCCTCCTAGACTGTAGCCTCCTAGACTGTATCCTCCTAGACTGTATCCTCCTAGACTGTAGCCTCCTAGACTGTATCCTCCTAGACTGTATCCTCCTAGACTGCAGCCTCTTAGACTGTATCCTCCTAGACTGTAGCCTCCTAGACTGTAGCCTCCTAGACTGTATCCTCCTAGACTGTTGCCTCCTAGACTGTATCCTCCTAGACTGTATCCTCCTAGACTGTATCCTCCTAGACTGTATCATCCAAGACTGTATCCTCCTAGACTGTATCCTCCTAGACTGTATCCTTCTAGACTGTAGCCTCCTAGACTGTATCCTCCTAGACTGTATCCTCCTAGACTGTATCCTTCTAGTCTGTATCATCCTAGACTGTATCCTCCTAGACTGTAGCCTCCTAGACTGTATCCTCCTAGACTGTATCCTCCTAGACTATATCCTCCTAGTCTGTATCCTCCTAGACTGTATCCTCCTAGACTGTAGCCTCCTAGACTGTAGCCTCCTAGACTGTATCCTCCTAGACTGTATCCTCCTAGACTGTATCCTCCTAGACTGTATCCTCCTAGACTGTATCCTCCTAGACTGTAGCCTCCTAGACTGTATCCTCCTAGACTGTATCCTCCTAGACTGTAGCCTCCTAGACTTTATCCTCCTAGACTGTATCCTCCTAGACTGTATCCTCCTAATATGTATCCTCCTAGACTGTATCCTCCTAGACTGTATCCTCCTAGACTGTATCCTCCTAGACTGTATCCTCCTAGACTGTATCCTCCTAGACTGAAACCTCCTAGACTGTAGCCTTCTAGACTGTATCCTCCTAGACTGTAGCCTCCTAGACTGTATCCTCCTAGACTGTATCCTACTAGACTGTATCCTCTTAGACTGTATCCTCCTAGGCTGTATCCTCCTAGACTGTATCCTCCTAGACTGTATCCTCCTAGACTGTATCCTCCTAGACTGTACCCTCCTTGACTGTATCCTCCTAGACTGTATCCTCCTAGATTGTATCCTCCTAGACTGTATCCTCCTAGACTGTATCCTCCTAGACTGTATCCTCCTAGACTGTATCCTCCTAGACTGTATCCTCCTAGACTGTATCCTCCTTGACTGTATCCTTCTAGACTGTATCCTCCTAGACTGTATCCTCCTAGACTGTATCCTCCTAGACTGTATCCTCCTAGACTGTATCCTCCTAATCTGTATCCTCCTAGACTGTATCCTCCTAGACTGTATCCTCCTAGACTGTATCCTCCTAGACTGTATCCTCCTAGACTGTATCCTCCTAGACTGTATCCTCCTAGACTGTAGCCTCCTAGACTGTATCCTCCTAGACTGTATCCTCCTAGACTGTATCCTCCTAGACTGTATCCTCCTAGACTGTATCCTCCTAGACTGTATCCTCCTAGACTGTATCCTCCTAGACTGTATCCTTCTAGACTGTATCCTCCTAGACTGTATCCTCCTAGACTGTACCCTCCTAGACTGTATCCTCCTAGACTGTATCCTCCTAAACTGTATCCTCCTAGACTGTATCCTCCTAGACTGTACCCTCCTAGACTGTATCCTCCTAGACTGTACCCTCCTAGACTGTATCCTCCTATACTGTATCCTCCTAGACTGTACCCTCCTAGACTGTATCCTCCTAGACTGTATCCTCCTAGACTGTATCCTCCTAGACTGTACCCTCCTAGACTGTATCCTCCTAGACTGTATCCTCCTAGACTGTACCCTCCTAGACTGTATCCTCCTAGACTGTATCCTCCTAGACTGTACCCTCCTAGACTGTATCCTCCTAGACTGCATCCTCCTAGACTGTACCGTCCTAGACTGTATCCTCCTAGACTGTATCCTCCTAGACTGTACCCTCCTAGACTGTATCCTCCTAAACTGTATCCTCCTAGACTGTATCCTCCTAGACTGTATCCTCCTAGACTGTATCTTCCTAGACTGTACCCTCCTAGACTGTATCCTCCTAAACTGTATCCTCCTAGACTGTATCCTCCTAGACTGTATCCTCCTAGACTGTACCCTCCTAGACTGTATCCTCCTAAACTGTATCCTCCTAGACTGTATCCTCCTAGACTGTAGCCTCCTAGACTGTATCCTCCTAGACTGTATACTCCTAGACTGTACCCTCCTTGCCTGTATCCTCCTAGACTGTATCCTCCTAGACTGTATCCTCCTAGACTGTATCCTCCTAGACTGTATCCTCCTAGACTGTATCCTCCATGACTGTATCCTCCTAGACTGCATCCTCCTAGACTGTATCCTCCTAGACTGTATCCTCCTAGACTGTATCCTCCTAGACTGTATCCTCCTAGACTGTATCCTCCTAGACTGTAACCTCCTAGACTGTATCCTCCTAGACTGTATCCTCCTAGACTGTATCCTCCTAGACTGTACCCTCCTAGACTGTATCCTCCTAGACTTTATCCTCCTAGACTGTATCCTCCTAGACTGTATCCTCCTAGACTGTATCCTCCTAGACTGTATCCTCCTAGACTGTATCCTCCTAGACTGTACCCTCCTAGACTGTATCCTCCTAGACTGTATCCTCCTAGACTGTATCCTCCTAGACTGTATCCTCCTAGACTGTATCTTCCTAGACTGTATCCTCCTAGACTGTATCCTCCTAGACTGTATCCTCCTAGACTGTATCCTCCTAGACTGTATCCTCAAAGACTGTATCCTCCTAGACTGTATCCTCCTAGACTGTACCCTCCTAGACTGTATCCTCCTAGACTGTATCCTCCTAGACTGTATCCTCCTAGACTGTATCCTCCTAGACTGTATCCTCCTAGACTGTATCCTCCTAGACTGTATCCTCCTAGACTGTAGCCTCCTAGACTGTATCCTCCTAGACTGTATCCTCCTAGACTGTAGCCTCCTAAACTGTATCCTCCTAGACTGTATCCTCCTAGACTGTATCTCCTAGACTGTATCCTCCTAAACTGTATCCTCCTAGACTGTAGCCTCCTAGACTGTATCCTCCTAGACTGTATCCTCCTAGACTGTATCCTCCTAGACTGTATCCTCCTAGACTGTATCCTCCTAGACTGTATCCTCCTAGACTGTATCCTCCTAGACTGTATCCTCCTAGACTGTATCCTCCTAGACTGTATCCTCCTAGACTGTATCCTCCTAGACTGTATCCTCCTAGACTGTATCCTCCTAGACTGTGTCCTCCTAGACTGTATCCTCCTGGTGTCCTGATACAAAGCTTGATTACCTTCTAGTCTACAGGTATTTTGTAACAACTTCTGGTTTAGCGCTTCTACCTGAATATAATGACTACAAACAATTTTAATCTTCAGTAGGAGGTAAATAACAGCTTAAATATTCATTTTGCTCTAGGGATGTAAATATTCGTATTAAGATGTGAGCATTAAATCCATAGACGTTACACTGCGCCTGGGAATGGAAAGTATGCAGGTATACCTGGAGAGGAGTTCGTGGGTCAACCCCCCCTCCCCCGCTGTCTGGTCTGACACCAGGCCTTGTGGTGGATCAGGGTCTGATCAACCAGGCTGCTACTGCTGGTCGCACGCAAACTGAAGTACGAACCACAGCCTGTCCAGTGCCTTCTTGAGGACAACCAGGGGTCTATTGGTAATCCCCCTTATGTATGCTGGGAGGCAGTTGAACATTCTTGGGCCCCTGAAATTTATTGTGTTGTCTCTTAGTGGCGCCCCTGCTTTTCATTGGGGGTATGTTGCATCTCAAGGATGGGAATGGCTGTTATTATTATTATTATTATTATTATTATTATTATTATTATTATTATTAGTAGTAGTAGTAGTAGTAGTAGTAGTAGTAGTAGTATTAGTAGTAGTAGTAGTACTAATATATTTAGGTTAATACTAACACGCAGGTATTATACAATGCCTTGGAAAATATTAAGGAATCAGGTTATTTCTAAGGAATGGGAAGAAAGGTCAAGTTAGTTGTTATAAAGAGCCTCCTGGAGGCGGCGAGATAACTGTTAATACTTTAAATATAACTTTTTGTTAATATGTCGTCTGTTATTATTCTATTATGAAAAAAAAATATAAAAATGATTGCAACATTTATAGGTGAAACAGTTTGTAAAATAGACGGAAATAATCAAGAACAAGTTACATTACTGACTCCAAGAGTCAGTAACGCAGCTTAAATACAAATAAACTCCAGAGCAATAGGATAACGTACGAAACATTATTAAATTTAAATGATTCTTACGAAAGATTTTTCTTTTTCTCATTACCAGGTGGAACTCATAGACTCACAGGGAAATGCTATTTTACAAAGCTTAGCAACCCCAGTCATGTTTAAACCTGCTTCTTCCCCACGAGCTCATCCAGCAAACTCGCTCCTACCTCCCTAACAACACTTCCTTTCATCAACACACCAGCGCCAGCCTCAACACCCTCCACAACAACAATGCAAAGAAACTCTTCTGAAGACGACTCGGAAAGGATGGCTGAGAAACTGTTTACGAAGGTTCCTGTCTCGGTAAATCCGTTTTTGAAGGAAGGTCTGACACCAGAGCTGATGCTCGCGGATATCCCACTTGGACGATCAACAACCTTGGCGGAAAACGCAATTGAAGAGACAAAAACACAAGAGATGAATGATGACAATGAAGAAAAATCCCAAAACAGCTCTCCAAGAGAAAAGATTCCAACAGCAGAAACGTACGCGAGAGAAATTTTAGTTACAGAAGCATCGGAATCCATGTCACACGTCGCAGTGTGGTGTGTAGGTGTCAGCCTCGGAGCTGTGCTGCTCCTTACATTCTGTAGTATGATAATATGGATGTTGGGTAGATTCCGAAAATCTGCTCACGGTGACGAATGTTGTGAATATAGAACGAATGATTGTAGACGTTCTTTTAAATTAGCTGCGTCTCGCCACAAAATAAGAAACCAAGCAACTTCTTGGAAGTTCGAGAACTTTTCCTCAGCAAGTACAAACTGTGAATTATTGCCCATCAAACAGGAGGATGTGGCAATGTTCGTAAGACAGAGTGTGGAGCCAGAGGATGTAAACAAAGAGATTAAATCAGAGTTTATAAGAAAGGAGAAAGTAAAAATACCTGAAATGATGGAGGAAGTGCCAGTACCATTAAGAAAGCAGGCAGTGCCAATACCTGTAAGAAAGCAGGCTGTGCCAATACCTGTAAGAAAGCAGTTAATGCCAGCTCTTGTAAGAAAGCAGGTAGTGGTAGCTCCTGTAAGAAAGCAGGTAGTGCCAATACCTGTAAGAAAACAGGTAGTGCCAATACCTGTAAGAAAACAAGTAGTAACAGTACCTGTAAGAAAGTAGGTGATTCAGTACCTCTAATTAAAGAGGCAGTGCAGTTGACATAATGTAACTAGAGAACTAGGCGGTTGTTCTGGACTAACCACCAATTGTAAGTAAAACAAGGCACTAGTAGTTTGTTTATAGTGTAAATGATATTTATTTATCCTTAAGAAGATGGTGTTGCGCTTTACCAGCAAGAAGCAACCGTCTCTTATTATCCCAACATACACCTGGTTCTACTCCTCACCTCAGTGTATCAGGTCAAGGACGAAATAACAATTGTTCTCCCATGTTTTTGTCTCATGTGAGTTTTTCTGTGAATTTAGTTGCGTACGCACCCGCACGCACACACACACACACACACACACACACACACACACACACACACACACACACACACACACACACACACACAGGGCCAGGAGCTATGAATCGACTTCTACAATCACAAATAGGTAAGTACACACATCAGATAGCTGCTGCAGCATATGGGCGCCTGGAAAACGATACCCCAGTAAGGAATCGTTCAAGACTCTGTACATCAGGCCCATACTGGAGTATGCAGCACCAGTTTGGAACCCACACCTGGTCAAGCACGTCGAGAAATTAGAGAAAGTGCAAAGGTTGCAATAAGACTAGTTCCAGAGCTAAGGGGAAATGTCTTACGAAGAAAGGTTAAAGGAAATTAGCCTGACGACACTGGAATTTAGGAAGGTTAGGGGAGACATGATAACGACATGTAAAATGCTGAGAGGAATTGACAAAGTGGACAAAGAGAGGATGTTTCAGAGATGGGACACAGAAACAAGGGGTCACAATTGGAAGTTGACGACTCAGATGAGTCACAGGGATGTTAGGAAGTATTTCTTCAGTCACAGAGTTGTCAGGAAGTGGAATAGTCTGGCAAGTGACGTAGTGGAGGCAGGAACCATACATAGCTTTAAGACGAGGTATGATAAAGCTCATGGAGTAGGGAGAGAGAGGACCTAGTAGCGATTAGTGAAGCAGCAGGGCCAGGAGCTGAGTATCGACTCCTGCAGCCACATAGAGGAGAGTACACAGACACACACACAGTTGCTCGGTATAATATAAGGAATCGTTTCCACCAAAGATAATTTTTTAATTCTTTAATAATGTATTTTAAGTACCATTGTGTTACATTATTATATTCTTATTCTTATCATTTTTTCTTTTATTATTATTACTATTATTGCTATTATTATTATTATTATTATTATTATTAGTTTTATTATTATTGCCCCCATAATTAATTTAGCAAAGTGTTAAACCCATAAGAGTTATATAATACTGTGTAACCCCGAATGTCTTAAAAATAAATACACAATAATTTCCATCTTTGGTCTCGTGTAGCCCTGGTGCTGCACGGTGCAAAGTTAAATGGGATAAACTGGTAGACTGCAATAGTTCTTACTTTATTTACATAATGTACATATATGTGGTAGGGGTCTGGGAAGTGAGTATGAGACCTGGATTAATGAGCCTACGTGAATGGTTGATAGGCATTATCCTAACAATGTCTGACAATGTAGAAGAAGTAGTGCCATACACCCACCAAGGGCATTCATAGAACTACACAATACTATGTGCAAATAAATATATAGTATCAAATACTGTGAGAGGAAATAATCTTATAATAGAGTGTAATACATAGTGGTATAGAGTATGTGTATAGATAAGTATAGAGTAGCAAATGTTTTGGACGTAAATAACAGTGAAGTGATAGGCCTGGCAGGTAACCCAAGTTGTAAACAATAGCCAGCAGTCACCAGCAGTTCGTTTTGAGTAAACTTCTTACAACTGCTCTTTTTCTTGTTTCTTGACTGACCCCACCACCACTACTACTACTACTACTACTATTACTACTATACTACCATTGCTACTACTTTTGCCACTACATTTACTTCCAGTACTACTTCCTCCTTTGGTCCTGTCCCAGTTAAGCTCGCCTATGTATACTGATTTCCTCTCTCTCTTTTTGCTAGCGTGATTTTGTAAATGGTTCAAGTCTGACCGAAACGTCGTCGTAAGCTTATCTCTCCTACGTGCAAGTTATGTGCGTATTGTGTACCACAGTGTATAGTTTCTGGAAATACGAAAAAGTTGCAGCAGTCAGTGGTTGCAGTATACACAACATGCAAGTCAAATACTCTTCTTGTAAACTTTTTACACAAGTTGTTACTCCGTTAATAATAACTGTCATACCATAGTATTCGATGTAGTGGAGATAGAAAAATCTCAGAAAACTTGAGTATAGTGATATACATTCCCCAAATCACCCAAGTTAATAATATATCTTTCTTTCTACAAGTACATGTACAAGGTATACAGGCCTAGCTGACATCAGTGACATACTACTATATAGAAAGCCGCTAGTTATGCAGAGCATTTCCCTCAAATTAGGTCACTTTTGTCGCAGGATGCGACCCACACCAGTCGACTAACACCCAGGTACCCATTTTATGCTGATGGGCGAACAAGGACAGCAGGTGTCTTAAAGAAACGCCTCTTAATGTTTTCCAACCCTACCGGGGATTCAATCTTGGATCTCAGTGTTTGAACTGAGTGCACTAGTGATCCAGCTACGGGATATGCCAGTTGCCAGCGGGCACCAGTACCCTCAACACGCAAGTCAAATACTCTTGCATCAGAATACACAAATAACCCGCACATAGAAGAGAGGAGATTACGACGACGTTTCGGTCCGACTTGGACCATTTACAAAGTCACACTAACGAAAAGGAAAAAAGGAGGGAGTATATATAGGCAGTAGGTATTAGTGGTAGTAGTGGAGGTAGACGGTAGTAGTGGGGAAGGTAGTAAGAAGGAGGAGGAGCCAGTCAAATACTGAGAAAGAGGAACACTGCAAGGGAGCTAGGTGCCCACAGAGGGTAAGAGCAAGAACACAGAGGGGGGGGGGGAAATAAATAAAAAATGAAGGAGCAAATACCCAAGGTAGAAGAAAGACAACCCAATGGAGAAAAAGGAAAGAGGAAAGGAGAAGAGGGAAAAGAAGAAAAAGAAAAAAGAATTAGGTTAAGTCACGAGTGTTCCGAAGTTTGGAGCATTTTACAATGTAGAGACGAAGCCTGGACTAAGATTCATACACGGAAAGTTGTGTATTAGGGATGAATCAACCAGATTGTGACTGTTAAAGTTTGAAGTAGGGAAGACAGTTTTAGCAGAAGACCAGTCAATAGGATGGCTGTGGTCTCTGACGTGACAGAAAAGAGCATTGTTAGTGTCGGCAAGCCTAACACTACTTTTGTGTTCCCTAAGTCTGTCGGAAAGAGATTGGCCAGTTTCTCCAAAGTAATAAAGAGGACAGGAGGAACAAGAAATAGAGTAGACATCAGGAGCATCTGTAGAGGGAGGTGTGAAGAGTGTTAGTCTGGCGGAAAGTAAATTTGATGTCTAAGGAATGGAGAGAATTGTTGAGATTAGAAAGACCAGAAATGTAGGGAAGGTAGAGGACAGAAGAGTTCCCAAGAGTAGAGTGTTTGGGAGAGAAGAAATTACGTTTAGCACGTGAGAAGGCAGAGTCTATGAAATGGGAAGGGTAGCCAAGACGGGAAAATGAATTATGAAAAGTGGTAATTTCGGATTGAAGGAACTGAGGATCACAAATGCGGAGAACACCGATAAAGAGGGAGATAACACTTTTTTGACAGAGGAAGCATGATAAGAAAAGTAGTGAATGTACATGCCACTGTGCATCACTGTCCTCAAAGATGTTTTTTGTTGGGTCCCTGGTCATTTGACGTACAGGGCAATAAACAGGCAGACACTTGTGCGCGGTCAGCAGTACATGAGCTCCCAGTTTCATATAGAAGTGTTCCATTCACGGACTATTTTGCTGTAATTGCTACCCACCTTCGCACCCGTTGGCAAAAATGTTGGTCTGATCTGCTCCATAACAAACTTCATTCTATTAAACCAAGTACAGGTTCCTGGCCATCTTCTTGTCATCAATGTCAAGGTTGGAAGACTACTCTCTCCCGTCTTCACATCGGCCACACTCGTCTTACTCACGGGTATCTCATGGAGAGGCACCCTGTTCCTCTCTGTGAGAACTGGCAAGTTCCAGTATCTGTTAGCCACATTCTGTTGGACTGCCCACTCTTTCAATAAACACGCAGAAATTACCTCCATCGTCGTCTCTGCTCCACTGCCCTTTCTTTACCTTCCCTTCTTGCTGATGGACCCTCCTTTAATCCAGACTCATTGACTTTTTGGCAGCAACTGATGCAAAAAACACAAGAAGAATGAGAGAAACTGAGATGCAGGGAACAAGAAGAGAAATAAGGCTAGAGAGAGATAGTAGAGCCCAGACTTGGGAGGACCAACAAACACAACCATCTGCAGGAACCACCCACAGAAAACCCTCAGCCCCTACCACCACACTACAACCAAACACAATAACACAACACATACCATACACAGCACTCACATCTCCCCCCCTTCTCCCCACAGTAAACCCCACCTTCACAGCAGCCTTTTATAGTATGCTTCCTGGCATCACACACCCCCAGCCAGCACATATCCCCTAGAATACATAAATGGAAAAGAAGCTTAAGATATGGTACACTAACATAGAATGGTAACAAATAAATGCATGAGTGGCATGAACGAATCATGAAGTCAAAGCATATGGGGATGATAACAGACACTGTCTTTCTACTGGATATCAGATCCTGAGAAAAGATAGAGGGAATGGAAGGGGAGGAGGAGCACTGCTTATTGAAAACTAGTGGAGATTAGAGGAGTTGAGAGGAATGGACAGAGGGGAAGCAAAGGACTACACAATAGGAACACTTCAAATTGGGGGTCCCAAGATGGTGATTGCAGGGATGTAAACCCACCACAGAATACGTCATGGCAAGAGTATGGTGGAAGCAACAGAACAATGGAGGACACAATAGCTGAGGTGGCCGGAAGGGCCTCCATAAGCAGAGAAAAGTTACTAATTATAGAGGATTTAAAAAACAAGGATAATGACTGGGGAAACCTGGAGCCACATGGGGACCAGAAATGTTGAGAGCTAAGATGGTGGAGGCAACACTGGAAAACCTCATTGACCAACATGTTCCACACACTACCAGAGAGAGAGAGAGAGAAGAGGACGAACCAGCAAGACTGGACCTCGTGTTCAACTTGTGTAGCTCCCACTTTAGGGATGTCACATGAAAGGCCCCTCGGCACTAGTTATCACATGGTCCTGAATTTCTAATTTATTGTAGATGTAACAGTGGAGAGTGAAACAGCATGAGAAAGATGATAGAAACTAAACTTCAAAAGAGGGGGTTACACAGGAATAAGGAGGGCAATTCCTGCGTGAGGTGCAGTGGGGAAGAGAATTAGAGGAAAAGACAGCAAATAAAACGATGGAACATGTTAAACAGAGTGCATGGAGGCAGAGAAGTTAATACCCATGAGCAACAGAAACAATGGAAACACCAGATTCACTTTTATTTACTTGAAGGTGTAGAAAGACCAAAGCTAAGTACGCTAGAACGTGGAAAAATAATAGTAGACAAAGAATCCAGGAAAATAAGCAGATAACAGAAGAGCCAGAAATAAATATGCAGTAATAAGGAGGGAGTACCAGAGGTAATATGTGAACCGAAGGATCAAGTGCCAAATCTGACCCAAAGCTATTGTACAGTCACCAAAGAAGAAGAAAAAAATAAAAACAGTCAAGGACCAGGTAATCAGGCAGAGGAAGGAAGGTGAGATCACAAAATATGACCAATAAGTATGTGAGGAGATCAATACAAGATTTAGGGAGGAATTTTCAGCGGAGACAGCCTTCATGAAAACTGGGGTGGCAGGGTACACCAACAAGTGCTGGAAACACTACACAAGCAGAAGGAAACATCTCTCCATAAGACCTGAGAGAGAGAGAGAGAGAGAGAGAAGAGAGAGAGAGAGAGAGAGAGAGAGAGAGAGAGAGAGAGAGAGAGAGCACGAGGCTCTGTGTGTTCCACTAACAACGATCTTCAACACATTTACGTAAGTGAGCAACTACCTGAGGTGTGGAAGACAGCAAATGTAGTCCCAATATCTGAGAAAGGAGACAGAC